GGTTCGGAGCACCGGCTGAGAAGTTGACAGACTTGTTGGGCAATCAACATTGAGGGCCTTGATGAGTTTACAGTGTTGTGCAATCACCCGAAACAATGGCGGAGGATGCCCTGGAGTGGAAAGTGGATCCACGCTGCACACCCTCCACTAAAGTCACTAAAGGGCAAACAGAGAGCGATTCCAGCTGCTGCATGGAGGCCATCAATGCGGAGGTTGAGAGAGCCATCAGGTGAGTACCTGACGAGGCAGGCAGCAGCATATCCAGAGAAGCTGAACGAAGCACTGGCCAAGGCTTTGGCTAATGCAGTCAGCAAGCGAAAGGGCGAAGACCGAGGAGCTCGACAAAGATGTGACAAGAGGCAAACAGCTGCTCATGACTGGGACCCAAAACCTCAGAAGGTGCACGTCAGCCTGATCAACAGAAGAGTGATGTTGATGATCGCGACAGCCTCAGGAATGTCCATCAGTGGGTTACAGATCGGATGACACACATTGGAGTACAGGTGCGCAACATCATTGAGAGACGGCTTGATGAGGATGCCACTGCTGAAGGACTGTTATGGCAGAACATCGCGGCGCATCAGAACCCTGAGGACGTCGTCATCCCAGAACAGAGGCTGGACATGATGAGGCAAGACATCAAAGACTTGTTGATCCGGGATGCTCCAGGTGATGTGACTTCTAGCCTGTCTACAGACCCGGTTGACAACCAGGAGTGTACAACAGTCATTCGAGCACATTCGTTGGAAGCGTGGGCAAGAGTGGTTGGTGACCCAGCTGTTGAGGTGGCCAAGTGGTTGTATCAGGGGGCACCAGCAGGACTTAGCAGACAGTCCGAGTGACTTGACGAAATTTTTCCCAGAGTTGAAGATGATGAAGACCAAAGGGATAAACGCGACCTGACCACGGACCTAGACAGCTTCCAAAATTACTCAGGCGTCGAAGAAGAAGATGAAGAAGCACTGAGGACAGTGTCGAGCAGTTGGAGAGTGTATTGGGTGACAAACCCGTGCTGTCCAAACTTGCATATTTGAAGAAACAGAAGTACAACCCTGACACTGGCCAGTACATAAGCAAGAGCCGCATCATTTTGGACTGCAAGCGCAGTGGTGTTTCAATCACATCGGCGCGGACACACAAGAGTGTTTTGCCCAGGATCACAGATGCAGTCAGTTCATCGCTTGCATTGTTGGACAACTCACTCGATGGCCAAGAAGTCACAATGTTCATCGCTGACATAGTTGATGCCTTTTGGTTGGTCCCACTGCACCCAACGGAGAGGCGGTTCTTCTGCGCAAAGTTGCGAGTGAAATTTTACATGTTCACACGCACGGCTCAGGGATCTAGAATGGCGCCACTGACCTTTGCTGCAGTCATGGCTATGTGGATGACCCTCTGGTCATCATCAGAGGTACGCAACAGCGCATCAAAAGACTGGCGGTAGTAGTTGCTGCGGCCTGGTTGGTGATGGGATTCCCATTGGCCTTTCACAAGGCCACTTTAGCAAGTAGACTCACCTGGATTGAAGTGCAGCTGGAAGTACAGACGGAGAAGATCGTGGCTGAGGTCACCAAGGCCAAGGTTGGAGAGATTTCATAACTGTTGCAAGAGGCGCTCAAGCGCAACGTTGTGCCCACGAAAAGCTTGAGAACCATCATTGGCAAATGCATGTCGATACCCTAAGTCACCCAAATTAGTAATTTTACTAACCATAAAATTTACGTAAATTTTTGGTTTTACTAAGGAAAATTTACGTAAAAATTTACGTAAATTGAAAAGTAAATCCAATTTAGGTCATGAGTAAATCCAATTTAGGTTATTAGTAAATCCAATTTAGGTTATTAGTAAATTTTTTTAGGTTATGAGTAAATTTTTGTGAGCATGATTTTGAAGCAGAAAATGTCTCAATTTATGTGAGTTGGCTTTCTCCAAAGAGGCAGGTTTTCTACAGGACAACATGTACTTGAGGATATTTGCGCTATGGATTTTTGTTTTTGTTGACTGAGCATGCCAGGAGGTGTGGACTTTGCCTTTACTTGAAGGGATTGCATTTACTTGAGCATGTGCACCCTTCTTGACTTGAACAAACCATTTTTACTTGAGGGTGTCTACTTGAGGGAGTAAATTTACTTGAGGATATGATTCTCTGATGGTTTTTGCCAGTGTGAGGGTGCATGTTTTATGTGAGAGATCTCTTGGCTCTGTGAGTTGCTGTTAGCTCTATTTGGTTTGTGACCATGGCTGCTTTGGAAGCAGCTGCACAGGTAAAGATGCAAGCTGCTGTAGAGGAGAGGTCATTGAAGCAAAGTGGGAGGTTTCGATTGGTGGCTGACCCCAGCATCCCAGTGACTGCAATCCAAGGTGCCCTCACAGGGTTCTTGCAGTTCAAGCAGAAGAAGGATCTATGGAGTTTGATCTGCCCACCCCCCACTGGCCCCATGTCCTATGGATGGCACACAGCTCCTCATGGAGAGTGGTTGTCCAAAGTTGCCGGTTTGCTTTTTGACTTGGTGAAAGTGTGTCCAAACACAAAGCTCACTCCTACCAAGTTGAGTGCGACCCTCAGGGCAATGAATACAAACAGGGACTTAGAGTTTTCTTCAACGCCCAAAGGCCATACCACTGAGGATATGATTGACAAGTGCGGCCTTACCTTGAGGATTTTGTTGTCCATGCTGCGAAACCTCAAGCTCAGCCCTGGCTTGAGAACTAAAGTGTTCAGGATGCTGTCCAAGCAGGATCAGGTGAAGATCGACTTGGTGCTGGAGAGGGTTGTCTTGCCAGCAGAGATGATGGGCATGGAGTATGTGGATGATGATGAGAAATCATCAGCAGCCATCGTTTCCATGGAGAGCAGCCCTGCTCCTTCTCCTGAGTCTTTGGCCATTGTGCCCTACCAACCACCCAAGCCCAAAACAGAGAAGAAGTCCCAGCCGTATTACTTGAGCCCTTTCCCTGCAATCTTCCAGAGGATTCTGGGGCAGAAGCCAAAGCCAGAAGCACCAGCTTCCAGTGGCACCAGTGCACCAATGGCACCAGCACACCAAAAGCCCAAAAGTCAGGGCACCAGTGCACCAATGGCACCAGCACACCAGAAGCCCAAAAGTCAGGGATCCAAGAGCAAACCGGTTGAATCTTCCCTCCTGTCCAAGGCCATGTCGTATCAGCCCACCATGGTGGTGAAAGAAAAGAAGAAGGCAAATGATAAGAAGTCAGTGAAGAACAGTGGCCAGAAAAGACAGAGTGATGCTGAGCCCAAAAGCATTAAGCCATCACAAAAGCCAAAGGAGAAGAAGGGCACCCACATCCAGCAGGAAAGCCAATATGAGGCAGGCAAAATGGCAGAGATCCGCTCCTTTTTCATCAAGCAGTACATGGAGAGCATGTCCAATATGGGCAAAAAGGTGACTCGATCTGATGCCTCCAAGGCATGGATGACTTCGACCAAGAGGGCCCAGCTTCTGGCACAAATGCCTTTGCCTGAGCTGAAGAGGAGGAGGTTTGTTCCCAAGGACTGTGAGGAGAACCCCTTCCCTGCCATGATCGAAGCCTCCAGTGTAGAGTGAGCCGCTTTTGCTCTTGACCTTTAGTAGCTGTAGCTTTGGTAGCTTTGCATGGCAAAGCCTGGGGATGTCTAGCTAGACACCTTAGATGGTGGAGAAAAGAAACAGTTGCTCTTGTTTTTGTTAGAGTTTTTTGGCAGCATAGCAGACTTTGCTTGACCATGATAACTTGAGGCTTGAGTATGGCAGACTTTGCATGGCAGACTTTACTTGAGCATGTCACACTTTACTTGAGCATGGCACACTTTACTTGAGCATGACAGACTTTACTTGAGCATGACCAACTTCACTTGAGATTGGCAGACTTTACTTGAGCGTGGCACACTTTACTTGAGCATGGCAAACTCTACTTGAGCATGGCAGGCTTTACTTGAGCATGGCAGCCTGTGCATGAGAATGTGTCTTTAGTATGGCAGTCTTGTATGAGCTGGGTCATTACCTTTGATGTTTGATGATTATGTGCTGTGTCTCCTCATCAAAGTGGCTAGGGTGTAAGGCATCTTTTCATAGAATCAACATAGTGGATCATCACACGCACAGAGTTCCCACTCCAACTAGATACCTTTTCATGGCAAACTCATGCAATGCATTTGAATCCTTTGAAACTTTGTTGATCTCCAGCCTCACACTTTGGCCATGTCCTTTCGACTTTATGTGAAGAATGTCGATTTCAATTGTCACAAATATGTTGCTTGGAGTCTAATAGTATCTTCTTATATGATTTTGGTCCCTCATTGGTTAAATGACTTTATGGCCATACCTTGGCAGGACCACATTGTGTGTTCAAGTTTTTAGCATCTCAGGAGATCAGATGGGCATTGGAAAACAACAACATCTTGGAATGCACTGAGATCAAAATCTGCCGCCCTAGTTACACATCGAAGTTGAGCACTCCTACAGAGCCAGACCATTGCTCAATCTACTTGTCCTTTCCCAATGAGCAGCTCCTACAACAGGCTCTGGCTCAGATCAATGGGAAACACCTCCTAGGATTGAGCAAGCCTGGGAATAACAAATGATGCTTGGGTAGCTATAGCATACTTGTATGTTTCCCTGTGGTGTTAGGGGCCAATTTGTGAATTCAATTCAATTGAAGAATTATTGTTTGGAAACATTGGAACATTGAGATCATTGTGAATCTACCTGAGGTTTGGCTGCTGAAGTTGCGCGACCAATGAGATTACCAGCTGCCCCAAAAGGACCACCTCCTCCTCCTCCAGTGCCACCTCCTGGAGCTACAGACCCTTGTCATTGCGCATTTTATTGCTCTTATTGACTTATTGTTCATGGTTTTGACCACTGGTGAGTATACTTTCACCTGAGCATGTGTCCTTTCTACTTGGAGTTGCTGTTTGTAAACCACACTGTGAAGGAACACAGTGATGCTGGCAGCACTGTGCAACTAAGGCTAAGGCGAATTGCCCAAAAGCTCCTGTGATGGCTCCTGCATGGCAGCCTATTCGCCCTTCATGTTCATCCCCTTTGACACCGGTCCATGCAGCTCCTGTTCATGCAGCTCCTCCACCACCACCTCCTCCTAAAGCTCGAGGACATATGAGTGTGGGATCAACTGATGCAGTTGCTAAGCAGGAGAGTGAACAGGAGGCATCTTCTTATGTGACTAGTCTACAGCAGAACCTTGTGTTGTTTACTTACTTGTGGTTTACATGTGCATGGGTGTGTTTTTACAATGTGTTTTGTTAGCGCGCTTGACATATCTGGCAGGCAAAAGCAGGTGCTGTGAAGAAGGAGCAGCTGGATGAGGAGGGTCATGAACCAGGGGTTGTGACTGCGAAGGAGGTTGCGGTTCTGGACATTTCAGATGATCAAGAATCCAAGGAGGCCTCACCAGAGAAGGAGAAGAAGAAGATAGACAAAAGCAAACAGAAGAAGAAGAGTAACAAAAGGCACAAAAGTAAGAAGGATACCAGCAGTGATAGGGCCAAGAAACTGCGCAAAGCTGGCAAGATTCTTGGACTGAACTTTGAACAAGTTTGTTTGTTGATAACTGATTGTTCAAGTTTGTTTTAACTGCAGCAAATGAACAAGAGTTATGTCAATGTTGGATTGAAACCATTGTCTGCAGGAATGACCGCATCAATGCCATGATGTACCTGATGAGGACGCTTCGAGACAGCACTTCTTCTGAGGATTGAAAAAGACGCAAGCAGCCTTTGGAGTAGAGTTGAGGACATGCATTGTGACATGATGTTGAGAAGCTGTTACATGAAGAAGATGTGACTTTACTTGAGAAACTTTTACATGAGGGTGTGACTTTACCAGTTGAGCTTTTACTTGAGGGTGTGGTTTCACTTGAGCATGGCACACTTTACTTGAGCATGGCAGACTTTACTTGAGCATGGCACACTTTACTTGAGCATGGCAGACTTTACTTGAGCATGGCACACTCTACTTGAGCATGGCAGACATTACTTGAGGATTGTTTTACTTGAGTGTATTTTACTTCAGTGGTTGAGACTTTGTTTAAGTATACTTTACATGAGGATGCCATTCAACTTGGAACTGTGTGCTTAGTCTTGTTTAGTCTTGTTGTGAGTTGAAGTGCATTTGATATGTATTTATGAAATTTATTTCAGAAAACTAAAAATTTAAGAGAAAATATTGATGAATTCTTGATGAACTTTTGATGCACTTTTGATGCACTTCTGATGTACTTTTGATGTACTTTTCAAAAGTGTATACACTTTTGATCAAAAGTGTATACACTTTTGTTAAAAGTGTATACACTTTTGAAAAGTACATCAAAAGTACATCAGAAGTGCATCAAAAGTGCATCAAAAATTCATATAATTTTTTGACAGATTTTATGAAAAGTTTTGATACTCTGCATCATATTGTCAGCAAAAACATATCTAGCATTCTTGTGGGTTTAGCCTTTACCTGATAATGTAATGCTTTTGCACAAAGAGTGGATCAGCATTGTATGTTGTTCAAATTGAAGTTGGTTTATCCTTTACCTGAGAAGGTAATGCTTTTGCACAAAGAGTTGATCAGCATTGTATGTTGTTCAAATTGAAGTTGTTGAGAGTTTACTGCACAGCTGGCTTATTGGTTGTTGTTTACTTTTGCAGCTAGATTGATCTCAAAGAGCTTTGAAAGGTTTGAAAGATAGGCGCAGTAGCTTGTTGGCATGGCAGAGGAAGAGATTCCCATGGGCACAGTCACTCCTGAGGAGAAGGACGATGGTGGAGTTGAAGATCCCAGTACACCTGTGAAGAAAAGGCCAGCTTCCAAAGCAAAGACCCCAAAATCCAAGAGCCCAAAAGCAAAGAGCCCAAAAGCAAAGACCCCTAAAGGGAAGAAGCCCAAAGCAAAAGGAAAGAACAAGCCAAAGCCAAAGGCAGGCTCTTTGAAAAGGCCTGCTGCCAGTGGAGAAACCGTACCAAAGAAGAAGCCAGCAGCTCATGGCTGGGCAGCAGGGTTGCAGGAGGATAAGGAGGAGGAAGCACCAGAAGTTGAAGAGGATGACCAAGAGAATGTGGAGGAGGAGGAGGAGCAGGACAATGCAGACTTCTTCGAGTGCGATGAGGCCAAGAAGGACAGGTCGAAGGACAACAAGTTCAAGGCCTTGTTGTCTGAGGGCTCTCTGCCAGACTATGTTGTGCAGGCCTGGAAGAAGACCTTGAGCATGAAGAAGGGACGCACAGAAGAACAGCGCAAGATAGTGAACCAAGTCCTGGACAGGACAAAGGATGGAAAGCTCATGGTCAACCTTGAGAAGCCAATGTTTGCCCAAATGCGCGAGCAGTTCTCCCAAAGCAAGTCGAGTACCAAGGACAAAGCACTCCCAAAGTTGCTGTTCATGGGCAAATTCAACTTGAAAGATGAGCAGTTTCTCCAGGGCCTTCAGGATGGTGAGTTCTTTGAGAGCAGGGACAGCAGTGGTCGCCTTGTCTACAGTTGGACCCAGTTGGAGCAGGTTGAGAGCAGGGGTTCTCTTACAACCGTTTCAATGGCAGCCAAGCAGGAGCTCGACAAGAACCAGAAGCAGGTTGAGGCTGGAGCTTTTGACTCTTGGAGGGGCGGTCTTTTCTCCAGGGACAAGACAAAGGCTCTCCATGATGCAGCTTCTTCTGGCAGCGCTCCACTTGCCCTGTGCGACCGAGAGACTGAACTGGGGGAGTCTCTCTGGAAGAAAGCACAGGAGCAGCTTCATGACGCAAAAAGGGCCTATGAGAAGCTTGAGAAGGATGTGAGGAAGGGCCTGCAAGATGTAGGTGTTGACGCAAAGGAAGATCCTCTTTGGACTACCTTGAAGCTTTGAATGTATTTAAATTGGAAAACATTTGGCGCTCTATTTTCTTGAACCCTGGAACATGCTCAAGTAAAGCTCTGCTCAGGTAGACTTAATGTAAGAATTCTCAAGTAAAGACTTCCTCAAGTAATCCTTTGTCTACCATGTGTTCTCAACTAAACCAAAGCATTCTCATGTCAAGGTTTCCTCAAGTAAACCAGTGTTTCCAACTTATGTTCAACAAAAGATTTCCTCAGGTAAACCAATGCCTTCCCAGGTAAACTACTTCTCAAGTCAAGCCTCACATTTTCTCTCACCCCTATCTTGTGTTTGGCATCAGGAAAGAGCTGGCCATGGGCATCATGAATGAGAAGCGCGATGTGGACCATGTGCTCAGCTGGAAGGAACTTCCAGATGGTTCTTGCCTCACTGGTGCTAAGTATGACGAGTTTATCCAAGGCAGTGGCAATAGGGCTGTGAAGCTTGAGGACCAGGTTGCTGGCATCAAGGGGCAGTTGAGCGCTCGACTTGCCAGGTCCAAGAGGACCACTTGAGCAGTTCTGTTACTTTAGAAAAGTCTTGAGACCAGACCCTAGCTTGTGCGGCATTCTGGAAAAACTACCTTCAGTTTGGAGCAGTCTTGAGTTTGACAATGACCCTTTGCTTGAACATGGTATGCCCTACTTGAGAAGGCCCTTTTACTTGGGCAAGTCACCCTTTACTTGAGAATGCTATTTTACTTGAGCATGTCATCCTTTACATGAGAAAGCCTTTTACTTGAACATGTCATCCTTTACTTGAGAGTGACATTTTCTTACATGAGCTTGTGCTTCTCTGCACATGTCTCACTTAGTGATTGATTTTGTATCTTCTAGACTGCCTTTTGGCCCAAAGTGTTCATCTTCTGTTGGGGTTTCCCTCTGACCACATGGAAGCCTCTCCTGCTACAAAAAAAAGAAAGAGAAAAGGAGGCCTGCAACAAAGGCTGAACCAAGCCAAGCAAGAGGTGCAACAAGAGAGCGCTCTCTGTGCACTTCTGATGACTTTTTTTGCCAAGGGCATTATGTCCGGTGTTTTGTGCCATAAGATTGCACAAGCTGCAAAGAAAGATATAGAGGCAGCCAAGGAAGGAATTGAATTTCCTGACCTGGACCACTTGGCAAAGTTACAGGAAGGTCGAACTTTGAAAAGATCAGCGCATACAATGCTGGCTAGGAAATCCTCTATGCCTCCACCCTTCAAAATTGACATGCCTTACAGTGATGGCACTGCTGAAGCTCATGTTCTCCTGCCACATGAGTATTTTGCTGCTTGCTTTGAAAAAGATGAAATTTGGAGACAAAGTATTTTGCCAGATGCTGAGAAGCTTCCAGATTTCTGGACTGCATTCCAGAAACATCCCTCAATGCAAGCCCATCCAGTCCAAAAGCAAAAAGATTGGAAAAACAAGTTTATTCCTCTGAGCATCCATGGAGATGAGGTCCCAGTAATGGGCATAGGGAAGATTTGGAGCAGGTCAGCTCTTAGCTTTTCATGGTCCTCAATGATAGCCAATGCCCTGGGAGGCCAATGCGCTGATATTATGATGTTTATTTGGGCAGTTTTTGAGAAGTTTGTTGCCCCTTCGAGCTCCAACAAGCCTGGTACAATGCACACATTCTGGTCTTTGCTGTGGTGGAGCTTTGAAGCCTTGTGGACAGGTAGGTGGCCCACCCATGATTTCAGAGGCATTCCCTATGACCCAAACACACCAGAAGGGGCAAAGGCTGGGAGTTGGCTGGCAGGAGGGTATTGTGCGGCTTTGGTGCAGTTTTGTGGAGACCTTGATTATTTTAGCAAGTGGCTGGGAGTGCCAGTCTCCACAAACCACTCAAAGCCATGCTGCCAGTGCAGATGTACATTTGCAGGGCCTTCCAGCTGGATGGACAACAGGTTGAACTCTCCCTGGCAAAGCACAGTCCTGACAGCAAGGAACTGGAAGCAACACTGGCAAAGTTCTTGTCCACTCTTTGATTTGCCAGGGATGACTGCACACAGTGTGGCTCTTGATTTGATGCACATCTTCTTCCTTGGTTGGCTTCAATTTGCTTATGGCAGCGTCTTTTACCTGTTGACCCATGAGTGTTTGGATGATGAGCCACTCCAAAATTTGCTCACAGTGGGCCGCTTCATCAAATCTTTTCAGAAAACTGACAACACACGCCACAAGTACAGGCAAAGGCTCACTAAGCTCACTATGTTTGTCAGGAAATCTGGTTTCCCCAAACTGAAAGGAAGGGCAGCAGATATTATGGGCTTGGACATAGCCATGAAAAGTTGTTGGGAGGAGTACAAAGACCCAACCAATGAGCACCTGTGGCCCTGTTTAGTATATTTTTCTTTTTGTTTTTCCACAGAACAATGTTACCTTTCTTTAGCAATCTTTTGCCACAAATACCACTCAGGCAACACCAGCTCATCTCTCTCTTCTTGGAGCTGAATGTTGACATTCAAAGCATGTTGAGAGAATATGCTCCCAAGTATGGCTACATGTGTGTGCCTGAACCACAGTACAGCCAACTAGTGACCAAAGGCCTTCAAATGGCACAGGTGCATGTCCAACTGCGTGATTATTTTGCCACTGAGGAGACGCCATTGTTTAATATGACCTCGAAGACACATTTCTGTATACACAGCTTTCTTCTTTCAAACTCGATACACCCCTCAGTCACATGGTGCTTCAAAGGAGAGGAAACAATGAGGGCTGTACAGACCTTGATGAAAAGCTGCCTTGCAGGCAACAAGCACTGGGGGGCAACCAAGGTGGCCAGTCTCAAGTACAGGCACCTGTTGCACCTCAGGAAAAAAATGCTTAAGTTAGAGGAAGTTTTCTGGAACAGCAGCTGGCCAAAAAGTAGCAGCCCAAAACACTGTGTGGCCACATGTTCTTCCAAATGGGAACCGTGTTTACCTGAGTATGTCTGCTTTTCAGTTTCACCCAAGTCATTTTTCTTGCGCTTGTCTTTCCTGTGTGCTTATACCTGAGTGTATGCGCTTGTGGTTTTATCCAAATGTCTCTACTTGTGGCTATATGTCTTACAAATTACTTTCTTCAAAAGATGTGTTTTAGATGCAGCTTTGAATATTTGCAAATCAAAAAGTAATGAAAAAATAGGAAAAACCCTTAGTGAAGACCAACCTAAATAAATTTAGGTTGTACCTAAATCAAATTTACATTTACTAACCCATTTACACTTTTTGCCACCTAAATTCATCAATTTACGTAAATCCAATAAAAATGTAAATTTACTAATTTCGGTGACTTAGGGTAGCCTCAGTCATCATTGCGTGGAGGCCGTTCGTTCAGCAGCTTTACACAGCACTGCATGCAGATGCGTCTGGACCAAACAAGTTGAACCAGCTTTCAACTGGTTGATCACCTTCCTGCGGGGTGAACAGGCTGGAATCAGACGAGAATTCACATTAGCGGCTTTTCGCAAAACAGGGCCAACTGTTGTGATCACATGGGACGCAAGCCCGTTTGGCATGGGAGCGACCCTCCAAATCCAGGGAGAGTTTGTAGAGTTCTTTGCAATTCGCATTTCGCAATCCGATCAGGACATCTTAGGAGTGCAAGCTGGTGATAGTAGGGGGCAACAGGTGTGGGAAGCACTTGCAGGCCTCATTGCCCTAAGGCACTGGGCGGAGCACTGGCAACAGTTCCCAGTGTTCCTGCAGATGCGTAATGATAACGTAGGTGCCTTGTCCCTGTTTGCCAACCCGCCTTGAATGTGATCGCGCGAGAGTTTGCGCTCGATTTGGGGCAGGCGACATGTCGGCCACAGCTCGTCACTCATATCCCAGACCAACACTGTTTGCGACGCGCTGTCGCGGATCAATGATCCACATAAACAGTTCAAGCTGCCAATCCAGCTTTCAGGAGCCAAAGCTGTGATGCCAACACCACGCCGCCTTGCGTGGTGGAAGACACTCCCAAGACTTGCCATCTCTCCGGCAGAGCCAGGTGGAGCTACGTGAAAGGGGAGAGAACACACCAGCCTGCAGAGGCACCCGGTCACAGAACAGGGTGGAGTTCCCTCTCTGAATCGGCCGACAACTGGCCTTCGAACCACCTTCGACTTGAAAACCGGCGGTGTGCCTGCTGGGGGGATTGGAACCGTGCTCTCGGGTTCGTCGCCGTTCGGGTCGTTCGGATCGTCGGCGCTTCACTCGTTCGATTCGTCGGACACCCGCACCGGTTGGGTGAATCCTGTTTTATCCGCAGCCTTTATCATGTTCAGGCGACCTCGCCACACCGCGGTTCCCTAAGTCACCGAAATTAGTAAATTTACATGTTTATTGGATTCACGTAAATTGATGAATTTAGGTGGCAAAAAGTGTCAATGGGTTAGTAAATGTAAATTCGATTTAGGTACAACCTAAATCTATTTAGGTTGGTTTTCACCAAGGGTTTTTCCTATTTTCTCTCTACTTTTTGATTTGCAAATATTCAAAACTGCATCTAAAACACATCCTTTGAAGAAAGTAATTTGTAAAACATATAGCCACAAGTAGAGACACTTGGATAAAAGCACAAGCACACACATTCAGGTATAAACACACAGGAAAGACAAGCACAAGCAAAATGACTTGGGTGAAACAGAAAAGCAGACATACTCAGGTAAACACAGTTCCAATTTGGAAGAACATGTGGCCACACAGTGTTCGGGCTGCTACTTTTGGGGCAGCTGCTTTTCCAGAAAACCTCCTCTAACTTAAGCATTGTTTTTCCAGAAAACAATCCTCTTCAACTTCTGGTGCTTCCTCCTCCTCCTCCTTATCCTCCTGCAACCCTTCTGCCCAGCCATGAGCTGCTGGTTTCTTCTCTGGCGGCGCGGTCTCTCCACTTGCAGCAGGCCTTTTCAAAGAGTTGGCCTTTGCCTTTGACTTTGGTTTGCCCTTTCCTTTTGCTTTTGCTTTGGGACTCTTTCCTTTAGGGCTCTTTGCTTTGGCAGCAGGTTTCTTCTTCACAGGGGTGATTTTTGCTCAACCTCTTCCTTCTCTTCAGGTGTGACTTGGCCCATAGGAATTTCTTCGTCTGCCATGCCAACAAGCTACTGCACCTATCTTTCAA